CCTCTTTAATGTGTTTTGTTTTTGGGGCCCTAAAAATACGGGACCGAATCCAGACCATCCCTTTTAAAGTAATCCCCAAGGCCTCCCGGGGCCCTCAGTACCGTGGGAGCCTTATTGAGGACGTCCTATCTTCATTTTTCGGAGGCCCGGATTGTTTGGGGGGGGGCCCTTAAGATTAAACAGGGTGCAACATTAAAAATAGCAGTAATAATGGCAATAACCAGGACCCTCCTTGTACCCTTAATTGGGGATATATGGTCCCTAATAATGGGTACTTAGGCCCTAATAGAGGGTAGGCCCTAGAACCTCCCAGCCTCCTGATGTTGAATATTGCCGTTGTGGTATACTTTTTAATGCAGTGAGAAAATTGAACACTGGGGGGGGCGCGGGTTTGTCAAGATTACGCGAGGGATGCGCAGCGAGAGCATATGCTCGAGCCCGAAACCCTAAACCCCAAACCCCTGAACCCTAAACCTCCGAACCCCAAACCCTACAGCCTAAACCCTTTTTCCCTAGACTCCTAAACCCTCAGCCCAAGCCTAAAGAGCTTTGCGAAGCTCTTTGACCACACCCTAGTAGAGTAGGACTCAGAGTTCAGGGTTTAGGGAACCCGTTTATCATAGGTTACAGTACGGTTCTCATGCACTGATTACACATGATTTGATATATTACATGACCCCAATTTCCCTCAAAACTAGGACCTTTCATCCTGCGTCCCTCGAACTAGGGCGGGGCCTTTGAGGCTCTCAGACCACCCAAAACCCTAAAAACACCAAACCCGAATTCCTAAACCCTAAAAGTCCACTATGGGCTATTACATCCTAAAATTCCCCGTTAGGACCCAAATAAGGGTAGATTAAGGAACCTTTAAGGTCTACTAGCCCATGCTGGGCTCTGCACCCTGCCTTGCCAAAGAGCCGACCCTCTGGCACGGGGAAGTCGCAAAGCTGTGGCTCCAGCAACCGTGCCTTGCAACAGAAACGGCGGTTTCCTACAATTGGGGAGGGAGAGGGTTTAGGGTTTAGGGTTCAGGGTTTAGGGTTTGGGGGGGGGAACATAAGACCGATTATAGTAAATTGGGGTC